CTCTTTCAGCACTTCTGGATAACGCCCCAGATAACGATTAGGTGGCGGTGCTGCACCTCCGTGTGTGCGTGTGAGTGTGAGCGTGAGAGGAGTGGAGAGAAGGGAGAGAGAGAACAGGAGACAGGCACAAGGCAGCTCAGGGTCACTTATTAAATAAAGTTGAACAATATGTAGGTCTTGTCAGATGATGTAGGCTGCAGGGACGGTAGTGCTGATTTGCCAAGTGCGGGTTGGAATTATCTTTTGATAGTGTCACAAGCGGAGAATGTTTTCTTTCGTGTTAGAGGAAGAAACAGGAGGCTATTATCCCAATAGCGAAGAGCGCTCACGGTCTGTGCCGGACTGGGAGACAACCAAGAGAAAGTCATACTGCCAGCAGGATTTTTTTCCAGCACTTTCGAGCCCTGGTTAAATTTATTTGCTCGTGTTTACATCTCAGCTGCTTTTTTGGCGGATTAATCACTGTTAACGTTTTATCTCGTCTGTAGTACTTAGAACAATTTCATTTCCGATAGTATGGGCTCATCTTGTGAATCTCGGCACGGGAATTTTTCTCATTTGATAACCTAGGCAAGTTAGGAGTTCTGTTCTCTGCATCTGCGGCTACTTCTGCAGTGCTGTGGGAGCACAGGCGCAGCATAGGCATGTGGCCTCCAGAACAACACACCATCCTCACACACTCCAGGTATTCAGATTAGGTATAAGGACAATACTAGATTACTTTATTACAAAAAGTTATTGTGGATGCTAGTATGCTACTTACATGGGGCAATTTGCTTGTTCTATTCTGTAACAATATAAATACTTTCAAAAAACGCACTGAAGAAGGAAGGGCTGTCGAGGATCTTTATGAAAATAGACATTATTATATTAAACATTTCTTAGTTTTGCTTCTTACAGAAAAGTTTCTTCTGGGAGAGGGAAGAGATTGGCAATTTTGTTCCTAGCTTGGCATGCTGGCTGCATAATTGCCATGTACCACCATGTTCACATGATAGATATATAAAAAGTTTTCACAATAAAACATCTTTAAATAAGGAGAATATTAATATGACCAATGAAGCATAGGGCTGCGGGTTCTTTTCATAGCTGTATCACATTTACTTGGGCAAGTATGAACTTGAGAAAGTAATTTACATCATCAGTGATTCAGTTTTTCCATCTGTAAACTGCGGAATAGTAATAGAAAATAATAAAATTATTAATACCTGCCTGAAAAGAGTTACAGTCTAATATGTCTGTTGTTTCTGATACGATTTAGAAACCTAAAGTGAAAGCACTTAGTTACATCATGCAAACTGTTGCTAAGTGCCCTGAGAGATCATCTTAACCGGAATTTAATAAAGAAGGATTTACTATTTAGTCTATTAAATTTCAAAATCGAGTGCATAGGAATTCACAGTTGGTCAGATCCTCACCTCAAACACTCCAATAGAAAAGACTGTAAACATGGCTTCCTGCTGAGGGATAGCACTCTGCATACCAGACAGGAATACTCAGGTTAACATTGCATTTGCTGCAGTATATAGGTACATACACAGTTCTACAGACCACACGCAACAGAGGAGGGTAATAGTAGTAAATATTTATCCTGTGGCTGCACCCAGAACTCCTAGCGGTAAATTGTCTCCCACATTCTTTCTCTGGTAAATTTCTTGCTATAAACTCTGACTTAATAGCTCCATACAGAATAAAATTAAGATTCATTTATTTAAAAGGATCCTCTCAAATCCTTCATGTCAGTCCCTAGAAATCAGAAAGTTATAAATACTTTATTTTTATCTACTCTTTTTCGGGCAGCACTGCAGCACTTTGTCTTGTTTTGCAGCCATGTAAAAAAATCTTTATCTTAAATTAAACTGAGGCTTCAAGGAAATGGATTTGAGTGGCCTCTTTGCTTTCACTGGAGGGATACTATCTATAACCCTGTGGCAGGGAGCCAGCTCTGGTGATTACACATAGGCAGTCATATTTATTGGGACAGAATGCTATGATGCTTCCTTTCCTAACTGGAAATGTCAAGAGTTACTGCTTAGAATAATAAACCAAGTATTTTTTATCTTTAAAAGAGCTTAAATTTTCATAATTAGCTTCACCATGGCTAAGTACTGAACATGAGTTGCAATGACACTAAGGAATCTGATGATACATAAAGCCTGAAAGGCTTTTCCTGACCAGAGGTCTATCCCCAGAGGTCTATCCTGAGACTATAGAAGTTTTCCTCCTAATATTAAGGGACTGTCCAAAACAGGTCTTTATAACACATGTGCTGTAAAAAACCTGTATGTTCAAATACTTATCCTAACTGAGAAACAGGTTGTGTTAATCTGCCTGTTGTATTGATTCTGTTTTCATTCTTTTTTCGTTTTTCTTATTGTCTCTCTCTGCAGGTGAGGAAATGAGAAGTATCTCACTGAAATACTAAAACGTGTGTCTCACTGAATTTGCCCTTTGGGGACTTCAGGATGGAAGCCTTGTGTTTAAAAGTTTCCTTGCTGCTGCTGGTTCCAGGATTTGTCCTCACTGACAGCTCTGATAGATATGCTGCCAATCGGAGTGACCTGGGAATCCACCTTTCCACTTTCTCAGGGATTGAATCCAGTATACTCCTCACCACCAGACAGCCCCTGGTGTCCAACCAAACTGTCAAATGCTCCCAGCAGACTAAGATTGCTGAAACTTTTAAATACATTAACACGGTGGTATCTTGTGCTATTTTCATTGTTGGAATGGTTGGGAATGCAACTCTGCTGAGGATCATTTACCAGAACAAGTGTATGAGGAATGGCCCAAATGCACTGATAGCCAGCCTGGCTCTGGGAGACCTTATCTATATTGTCATTGATATTCCTATCATCGTGTACAAGGTAGGATGCAACAACAATACATTCTAATTGCAGTTTCCTTGCAAGTACATTGTCTATTCTCTATGGTTACTTCTTTGTCTGAGCAGTGCACTTCTGTTACAGTCCACCTAAGAAAAAAACAACTCCTTTTTGTTCTACAACAAAAATTTCGCTCTTAGGTCTCACCTCCATAAAGCAAAAGTGTGTCTATCTCCTTTGAAAGATGATGTAGCTCTTAGCTCTCAATCATAGGAACTCTTTATTTATTATAGCTGCTATAGCTAGCAAAAAGAATTTATGAGGGAAGACTTTTTATAAACTGTTCTGCTTCTTGATGGACATACAGCATTGGGCTAGTTGCTGTATTTGGAATATTCTATACTTATGTTTTTACAGAAAAGACTCTGCAATCTGCAAGTCATGTTATGACTTTGTGGAGAGAGAGTATGTCAGTTAAGTTGAGCATTAAGGTTTTAATTTAATATTTATTAATAGCAGATTCTCAAAATTATTGCAGAGTGAGCAAAATAATTTTTGAAATATTAAATGTCATCTGGATTTGTCAAAGCATAAAAGGATCCACAGCAATTCTTTAATTTAGTATAAAGTTATCCTGTCCCAGTTTTTTATAATTTTCCTTTTTAAGTAAACAAAACCATAAAGCGGTGCTTTTTCTGATGCAATATATGTTTAATAAGGTAACTTGTATGATTACAGGAGAGGCTTGAATGAACAGAATGGAATCTGTTTTCAATATATGTCACTGATAGTAACTTATCCTGGAAAGTGATCAAAGAATTTTGTTAAGTTTCTATCTGTATCTTTGTGGATAGTATACAGGCACATAGTTGATAGGATAGTATAATTTTTCTTTCTTTTCTCAGTAAAAACTTGAGGTGTTTCTGTTAGTAAATAAAACAAAACATAAACATTCCTCAGAGTTTTGGCCCTTACAGATTTTAGACGGTTACGTGTTTTAAAGAAAACATTTTAATGCACAACTTTATAGTAATTGTTGTCGTGTGTTTTCAAACTGGATTTTAAAATGAAAGAAACAGTAAATTGAAAAGACATGTATTATATCTACATAACTATTAACACCATAATTACTGACTTGCATTATAACACAGGTATTGATGGGATAAGATCAGAAGAATTTGAATCCATTAATGGATCAAAAATATGTATATATGCATATATTAAATTTGTACAGAGAGATAGTATCTATGGTAAAAGGCAACACCTTGTTTTGATCTTCCATTAATATAAATTAGAGACAAGTCTTTCAATTTTATCTGGTTTTAATATAATATGAATTTGAAAGTAGGGTAAAAAAGACTGATAATAATATATGTGATTTAATGGGAATTCTAGCTTCCACTTTTCAATATGCCATGTGGAAAATTAAATAGTTTGTTGATAAGATAGCAGATTTCTGCAGAGTATTTTGGATTAACAAATTGATGAGAAAGATTAGCTTCTGCCTAATTTGAGATTCACCTGTCTTCAATAGCTGTGTGGATGCCTAATAGGACATAGGACTGGGGCTCTGCATGTCTGCATTACTCTTAGGAAATTGGACTCGTAGCCTGGACTGCATCTCCCATGGTGCAGTTTCCTCTCTGGTAATTATCCTGATGTCTTTATGTATAATTGTTAAGGCAATGTTCTTACTTCTCATAGTATTTCTGATACGAAAATGTAAGGACAAATTTAACGTGTTTTTCTCAGAGCTGAGTTTGGGTAAGAAAGTGTGTTTTTATGACACATTTTTTTCTAATCTTTCAAGAGCTCTGCAACTTCTTCACAAAGAGGAATAGAAATCTGGAATTATTTTTCTTTATTTCCTTTAAGAATTGCCTTTTGATGATCTTCTGAAAATTATTTAGAAATTTAGTTAAAAGTGAAGAGAAGATTTTTTATATTGCCTTTATTACTTTGCAATATTTTTTTCTGTTAGTTTTCTGATGCTTCTTTGGCGTTCTGTAGGTTCACTTGCCTTGCTATATCTTATATGATAAGCTGAACTGTGGTCCTGAATACTTGTATACAAATGACATTACCTTAGCCTATATGAAAATTTATTTTTGTACTGCCGAGAAGTATTTGATAAATAAAGTCTGTGAATGAAACTGCAGCTCACTGACATCAATGCATGTCAGTTCCTACATCTAGGTAGGCAGAATTACAGTCACATTTACAAGCATAATTCTAGCTTTTAGTAATTTATTAAGTGCTTGAACCTCCAAAATAAATTACTGAAAAATTACCATATGCTGCTATCTTCTTGCATAAGGTTAGCTGCATGTATTCTGATACACGGAAGCATTTATTTATAATGGAGCTCTAGTACTTCCGATAAGAAATTCAATTATTATTTATATTCCATTTTTCGAATGAACTATTTAGTACGTTTGCTTACACTAGGAGACGATTTCAAAGTTTGTCACATGGCA